GACTCCAGGCAGTGGGTGTGGTTTGGGCTTTGCTTCTGTGAAGATGACAGCCTTGGAGACCCTGTGGGAAGTTCCACTGTGTCCTCTAGGGGCGCTGTGGGTCAGAGTCAACTGGACAGCAACGGATTGGATTTTATTTCTCTACTCACAATCATTTGGAGAAAACGTTTGCTGTTAAGAAAGAGACAAACTCTATCCTGACAGCAGATATCGGTTGGCCCTGTTCCGCTTTGGGCATACATAAGGAGCATAAAGAGTATAAAATGTCCCAAACTGCAGGGGATTTGCCAAACCATTAATAAGAAAAACAGGCCCGTGGAAAGCATGCCTAATGAATGTTGATGCAGTGCTAACTAATAGGTGGGGAGAGTCACTGAGCACTACAGAGCCAGGAGTCGGTTCACAGAACACGGCCACAGGGAGAGGAGCGGTGTGCGGCCCGAGCAGCCCCTTACACTGGCTGACCCCGCTCCCAGTATCTGTCCCAGGGGTGGGCCCAGGCAGCCCTTCAGCAGAGCGGCCCTCCTGATGACCCCCCTGGGCAGCATGCACGAGACGCCGTGCTCAGGCTGAGAGGCCCGCTCTTGCTCTGGGCTCTCTGCTGGGTGGCCCTGTCCTTGGGCTCTGGGGACAGGTGAGTTACAGATGCAATGACCCTTCCATACGCAGCCCTGCCTGAACAGGGGAAGCAGCAGCAGCCTCCTTCCTGGACCTGGTCTCCAGCTTCTAGTTCTTTCTCCCCCAAGCTCCGTGGAGGCTGGAGTCACCCAGGTACCTGCACATCTGGTCTCCAGAGGCGGGTGCCAGGTGGTCTGATGGAAAGCTGAGTTAGGTGGATTCTTCCCAGAGCTCCTAAAATACATGAATGACACCTTTATAGGAGGAATTTCGGGAATTAACAGTAACTCACGAACGGACAAGAAATCATTCTCATGTTCGTGCTGAATACCCAAGTCTGCAGAGCTGGGCCTGCAGAGAGTCTGAGCGGCGCTCTCTGGAGCCCAGAGTCTCTCCTCAGGAGAGGAGGAGCCTGCGATGAGGCAGCCTGCCAGGGAGGAGGCAGCTTCTGGGCACAGAAAGCTCCTCTGACGGCAGGGGTGAGGTGAGAGGGTCCCCAGGGCAGGTCACAGCACGTACTGGTCAGGCCATTTTTAACTCAACACACACACCATTTCTAAAATGAATCTTCTTTGTATTTAAAGAAATAGAACATATTTGTTGAGGCAATATTTGGGGTTCTACTAGACTTCTTAGTGCACCATACAAATTCTGCTCTCTGGAAAGTAAGCTCAAGGTAAGGGGCCAGAACTCGCCCATTAAATGTGAATAGAGTCCTTATGAGTGAGTTAAAACCAAACACTAACTTTGTGGGAAAGGGGCTCAGAGGAGGCGAGGCCGGGACAGAGGTCAACCATATCCCATTGGAGGGGGTAGATTTGAGCTGAGATTGGAGTGAAGTATTTCAAAGGCAGAAAATGTGTGGGTCTCTTCTGGCAGAGATGATCCCAGGACTAAAGAGGAAGTGGCTTCTTATGCAGGAGCTCTGGTTGCATAGTGCCTAAGGCATCTGACTGCTAACCAGAAGGCTGCCAGTTCAAACCC